TAAAAAAATAAGATTTTTTTATTTTATTTTTTTAGTGATATATATTTTTAATACATTATAAAATTTACAATTGGGTCACTCAAATACACTTTAAAAATGCGTTTTAATATAATTAAAATTACGTTTTCTTATAAAAATACATTATAAAATTATTTAAAAATACATTTATTTATAAAATTAATTCAATTTTCGGGCCGGGCCGGGCCGGTCCATAGTCGGTCCCATAACCGGTCTCGGTCGGTCCCGGTCCCACGAAACTACCAAAAATCTCAACCGGTCCCGGTTTTCGGTCCCATAATCGGTCCTTACCGGTCCCGGTCCCGGGCCGGTCCTTTGTCGGTCCCGGTCCCGGTCCTCCGGCGGTGCCGGGCCGGGCCGGGCCCATTTGGCCATCTCTAGAACCGGGTATCAACTTACGGAACCGGAACTGTCTTGAAACTGCCAATTTCGGAACTGGAACCGATATGAGTGGTTCTGGTTCTGGTTCCTAAAATAGAGAACCGATTGAGAATGGTTCTGGTTTCGGTTCTCAATTTTTCGATACCATTACCCGTCGGAACTGGTTTCGGGACCGGCAGATACCCTGAACCATAATAGGAATTTCTGGTACTTTCAACTTCATGATTGTATTCCAGGCTGAGCACAACATTCTTATGCACCCATTTCACATGCTAGGCGTARCTGGTGTATTCGGCGGCTCCCTATTCAGTGTTATGCATGGTTCCTTGGTAACCTCTAGTTTGATCAGGGAAACCACAGAAAATGAATCTGCTAATGAAGGTTACAGATTCGGTCAAGAAGAAGAAACTTATAATATCGTAGCTGCTCATGGTTATTTTGTCTGATTGATCTTCCAATATGCTAGTTTCAACAACTCTCGTTCTTTACATTTCTTCCTAGCTGCTTGGCCTGTAGTAGGTATCTGGWTCACTGCGTTAGGTATCAGCACTATGGCTTTCAACCTAAATGGTTTCAGTTTCAACCAATCGGTAGTTGATAATCAAGGCCGTGTAATTAATACTTGGGCTGGTATCATTAACCGTGCTAACCTTGGTATGGAAGTTATGCATGAACGTAATGCTCATAATTTCCCTCTAGACTTAGCTGCTATCGAAGCTCAATCTACAAATGGATAAGACTTTGGTCTGATTGTATAAGAGTTTTTGAACTAAAAAAGGAGCAATAGCTTCCCTCTTCTTTTATCAAGAGGGCATTATTGCTCCTTTTTTTTATTTAGTAGTATTTACCTTACATAGTTTCTTTAAAAATAACAAAGGGGTTTTATAKTTTKGTTMGATTAGCGTGTTTTATCTTTGTATTAATTTCTATTATAGGTTTATATATCATTTTCCCAATCGTTTATGAAGTTTTATTTCCAATTCAATTTCAATCTAAAATAGATAAAAAGTATAATTTTGATTATTTATTGCTTTTATTTCAGAAATAAGAAAGAAATAATATGCTCTTTTTTATGTTAATGGAAAAATAAAATACAGTAATAGTAGATAATACTAGATAATAGGGGTGGATGTAGCCAAGTGGATCAAGACAGTGGATTGTGAATCCACCATGCGCGGGTTCAATTCCCGTCGTTCGCCCAAATTTTTTTTTTTAATAAATTATTCGCTACAAAAGGATTTTTTTTAGTGAACGTGTCACGGCTTCCTCCTATTTTTTTTGTAAAGACGAAGAAAGAAATTCTATTTTCTCTCCTATTTACTACGGCGACGAAGAATCAAATTATCACTATATTTATTCCTTTTWCTACTTCTTTTTCCAAGTGCAGGATAACCCCAAGGRGTTGTGGGTTTTTTTCTACCAATTGGGGCCCTTCCTTCACCACCCCCATGTGGATGGTCTACAGCGTTCATAACTACCTCTCTTACTACAGGGCGCTTACCTAGCCAACGCTTAAATCCGACTCTACCCAAACTTTTCTGGTTTACCCCAACATTCCCCACTTGTCCGACTGTTGCTGAGCAGTTTTTGGATATCAAACGGACCTCCCCATAAGGTAATTTTAATGTGGCCGATTTCTCTTCTTTTGCAATCAGTTTCGCTACAGCACCCGCTGCTCTAACTAATTGTCCACCCTTTCCAAGTGTGATTTCTATGTTATGTATGGTCGTGCCTAAGGGCATATCGGTTGAAGTAGATTCTTCTTTTTTATCAATCAAAACCCCTTCCCAAACTGTACAAGYTTYTTCCAAAGCATACGGCTTTYTGGATGTAGRTGGTGATATCTATACAGATGGATCTTATATATGGTATAATGAAGTACCACATGGGTGGATATATAGGAATCAAAATCTGCCGAATCACTCATGTTATGATCTTCTACATCCTAGGTCTTCCCGTTCCATCATCTGGCTTATGTTCTTCATGTAGCATTCAGATCGAATGACTCTATGAAATTACGTTGATACTTCCACATATTATGGGTAACGTAGGATTAAAAATAATAATTGATTTTATATATATAATTTGTGTAGTTTTTTTTATGTAATTTGTGTAGTTTTATGTTAAAAATATGTACAGTTTTTTATATAATTTGTGCAGTTTTTTTATATAAAATTTGTGTAGTTTTTTGTTAAAAATATGTGCAGTTTTTTACGAGTTTGTGTAGTTTTTTGTTAAAAATATGTGCAGTTTTTTACGAGTTTGTGTATTTTTTTAACACTCAATTATTCACAGGTACCGTATGAGGTTAAGGATGCAATGGGTATGCAAGAAGTTGAAACGAGATTCAGAATTTGAGATAAAATTATTCGTATTTTTTCAAATAGTGTGTTTAATTGGATTCATATTATGTAATCGTTAAACTTTGAACATTTACAATTATAATATGTAATCGTTAAACTTTCAACATTTATTATTAATCTATTATGGTTTGTAATCGTTAAACAATATTTGTAACCATTTAACCATACAATTTGTATTCTTGTTTATTTATTAAGTGTTTTGACAATGTTTTATTTTTTATTTCTAAATAACAAAATTTTATTATTTTAGAAAGCGGGTGCCCGGAACCGCTCTAATCGGTTCTGGTTCCAAAAATTCAAGAACCGCTCTAATCGGTTCCGGTTCCAATATCTCAAGAACCGCCGGTTCCGGTTCTTGTCAAATAGGGCGAGTTTCCACCTATGCTCACCCTTAGTGGGAGGTTCCTATAAGTAAAATTTGTAGTGAGTTATAAGAACTACCATTAAAGAAAAAAGTTCTTATTGTAACACCCGTGATTTTGAGCATACCTTTAGATTGATATATCGTATATCGTAACGAGCCTTTTGAAGTCATTCCTTGAGTGGAATGCATTGGGTCTTAAGAACTTATGGCATGGATGAGTTCTGGGGGAGAAAAGTTGCATCTGGAGCGAAACAGAAAATTCCGCTACTTATCCTGCTACCTAAGCCATGAGAAAAGTCGTGCAACTCTCTGTTTCARCAAAACGAGTTTTTGGATGCAAGCGACCTACCAGGCGACTCAGGTCGCAGGAAAGGTCATGRGAACGTTCAGATCGGGTTTTAAACCCTCCATTCTTCACCTACTTCAGTCCTCTCTCATTTTGGACGATTTTGGGAGTTGTTGGCAACATTTTGGAGCATTTTGGAGGAGATCTAAGTCAAGTAATGCTAAGGATTYAACATRGATGTTCAAAAAACGACGAGGTAAGCTTCTTARGTGTTTTGAGATCTATATTTGGATGTTTCRTGGTTTTGAAGCTTGAGTTAATGACGGATACTTCTTTGGCTTGGTTTGTAGTCTTGAGAAATTTCCTTGGTGGCTTGGTTCAGATCTTCATCTTTTGGAAGCTAAAAAGTTGGGTTTGGAATCTAGGTAGTTCAAGTTGTTTTGTGAAAACTATGTACATACCAAAATGTTTATTTTGAAGTATTTAATGTGTTGTACTTTATACTTATCAAATGTGTTGAGTATTTGATGAAGTTTGCTCTCGCCGCCGCCGGTGCTCTCCTCCTCTTCTCCTCTTCGTCCGCTTCCCCACTGCTCGCGCCGATGTCTCCTCTAACTCCCCACTGCTCTCGCCTTCTCTCATTATTGCAATCGTCGGTGCTCTCTCCTCCTCTTCTCCGCCTTCTCTCATCAATCAGCAGGTAAGACTTCCCTTTCCAATCTTCTGATTATTACATTACATATTACAGTTTGAAAGATTAACATTTCTTCTTCCCAAATATGCATCCTATTTATTTTCAATGTACGAACATATATAAACAGCTCAACTGGTAGTTGTTTTAGCCCATTGATCTCCTTCAATTTTGA